TGATTGGCTAAGAAGTGACATCACTACTAGTATTTCATCATAAAGGTCAAATCGTGACATTGCTTTCTTATCATATTCGACGCTTATTAATCACGGTGAAAGTTATCATTCAGCAAGTTCCGGTGGTTGGAATGTCTCACTATATGGATATCGCGGTGGACTTGAAATAGGAAGTTTTTTTTTTTATCCAACGACAGAAGAATAGTTTTCATGACAGAAATGGAATAGCGGTGATAAAAGATGGTAAAAAAGTTGGCAGTCTTCGGCGTGACATTGCAAAATTGCTGGCCCCAGTTATGGATTCGCAAGCTGCTACAAAATATTTATAAAGCCAAAATAACGTGATTTCAACCATTCTCCCAGGTACGGGTTGCTACAATATTGCAACATTGTTTTCATTGTCGACGACGCTAAAGCCGAACGAGTGCAACACTTGCTTAGCGGCTCTCCTTATGCGATTTGCTTGAATCGTTTCTAAGGAAGCACAAACCAAACGACCTGCCCTTTTTAGGGCCACGACATATTTCAAAAAGAGAACTACCGTTTCTGCTTTTATATTTATTTTTATAGACTTGCTGACTGTTATGATTCTGAAAAAAATCAGCGGTGAACGCGCTGCCCTGAAGGAAGAAAGCTGTCACAGCTACTAGTATTTTGCGTTCACCCCTTGTTTTACGCAATTAACAATTTTTATAAGTATCACGATAGACTTCAAGAAAGTCAACTGTTAATACAACCACAGTCAACGAATAGAAAATAGTTTTTTTCTTTTGTGTAGAAAAAGACCCCTGGGCGTGTGCCCGGATATGACCTCAACTCCTTTATTGTGTCAAAAGTGGGGGGTGGGCGTTTGTCCAGGCATGGGCTCTTACCCGGATAAGTACGGTACATGTGGACCTCTTTCAGATTTGTTAATTTCTTGGTGATATCTTCAATTATCTAATTTTGATGATTATTTTGTCATTTTTGGTGAAAAGTGATATTTTCAACTTCTTGTAGATTTCTTTCAAATTCGTTCATTTCGTGGTGATATCTTCAATTATCTAATTTTGATGATTATTTTGTAATTTTTGGTGAAAAGTGGTATTTTTGAATTGAGCATTGCTAACAGCAGAGCTATCTCAGTCCGACAGACTGCTCGTTAAACTTCCTTAATTTGAGTACTTGAGGATGAATAAGTGTTTGAGAAATTCACAGAATATTTATTTTCAGGGCATCAAAGAGGTGACATTACTTGGTCAGAATGTTAATAGTTACCGAGATACCTCAGAAACTCATCACTATGGTAACACTGGTGAAAGTGACAATACAACGGTGCTAAGCAGAGGATTTAAAACATTGTACAGGTCTAAAAAAGGTGGACTAAGATTTGCTGAATTATTAGCCAAAGTATCTCAAGTTAATCCGAGATGAGGATTAGATTTACTTCGCCACATCCTAAGGATTTCCCAGATGAGGTGAGGATATTTTACGGTTGTCGCAAACGAAAGTTACTCTTTGTATTGGCATTGAATAAAAGTATGCCCTCTATGGCCATAAGGACAACTGTAATTCTGAAGTCACTAAAATGCAATAAGTAATTGCAATTTTATTATTGAAATCCGAAAATGGAAAAATTGTGGATTTGTTTCAGATGATATTTAGCTCAATGGGCTATAGTACTTTTGATGGGACTCTATGGAATTTGTGACAATATAATCAATATTTTCATTATTATGTAATTTTTGTAAAAATTTGCCTCCGAGTGACATCAGCTGTTTATACTCCCACATTAAATAATATTTCGACACATCACTTTGGTAATTCAAATTTTTTTTTTTGCTGGACGATTTTATATCCAACTCAAAACATGGAAATACGAACCATGGAACAACCAACTTCATTTTCACTGAAATACTTAAAACATATTGAAATAGCTACATGCCATTTTAGCGAATTTGACTCAATGCATGAATTAACTGAATCTTAATTTAGCTAACGTGTCTTCAATCTCATTGTGAAAATCTTCTTTATTTTGAATTTGCGACATCTTGAATTTAGCGAAATTACAGATTAGCTAAATTAGTTAAAATAACATGCTAATAAATATTATGTTAATTATGTTTAGGTTTTACATGTTATCAAGGAAACTCCTAATATATGTAAACAATTGCATCTACCTGCACAGAGTGGAAATACTGAAGTACTCAAAGATATGCGTAGAGGGTAGGTCTATAACTTAATCTATATTTTTGTTTGCCCTTCAAAAATACATGTTTTGTAGCCTTTCCTCTTTCCTTCAGAAGATTGGGACCAAAAATGACAAATTTTGAGAGTAAAAACTGAAAACTGACTCAAATTTTGTCTGTTGGCTCCACAAATTAGAGTTCATTTCCAGAAATATTGAAGAATATTAGAAGAAAGCGGAATCAAAATTGGGAGAGAAAGTCTGCTGGTGAAAAGGTTTAACTCATCACTTGTACGAGTCCACATTGTGTATCACCTTCATTTTCCTGCATCGTAAGAGTTGCATACATGTGTCAGAACATCTTATATTTGCAGGTACACACGTGAAGCATATCTCGACTTGATTCATCATGTTAGAAGCGTCATACCAGATGTGTGTCTCTCCAGTGATTTCATGTCTGGTTTTTGTAGTGAGACTGAAGATGCTCACCAGGATACATTGTCATTACTCCGCATTGTGCAATACGACTTTGTATATGCATTCGCATATAGTATGAGGAAAGTAAGTACATTATTGTGCAATGATCGATTTTTGTAAAATGATTTTAATCTACATAATACAATTTTTTTTATTTGTAATAAAGTGTTTGGATACTGTGTACAGTAGTGTAATAGTGTGTGTCGAATGGGGCTGCGAGATATGTTTTAATATATTGATTCAATGCCTAATTAATATTCATGAATAAATTAGTGAACCTGTATAGAAAGGCCACCTGTCTATAAAGGCCAAAATCTCAAAGTCCCATGGGTGGCCACTATAGACAGGTTTGTCTGTATACAACTCAGGAATTTGACTCGCGAGTCAAGATAATGAAAGTGAAAATGATTGTATTTCTTTCACAATTGGGATCATTTCTTTCACCAAAATGGACGTCCCTGTCTATCTAATATTTGCGGTTCAGAGAAGGTGAATGTTGGTTTTAATGCAGTCCTGATACATGTATACAGGACAGATTAAAACAACCATTTGTCTTTCTATATAATCTGGCCAAGCATGGTACATTTTGGGGTATAATACTGTATTTGCTCTTATTGAAAAGCATCTACATTAGAAGTGTACATACATGTGAATAAAAAATGCATTCATGTTCAAATATACTGGTATGTGTATATTAAAATATTTTTCAACATAGCTTATATCTGTAAAGTGCATACTGTAAAACATGTTGAAAAAGCGACATACTATTTTAGCGAATTGTGATAAAATGATGCAATAGCAAAATGTTGATTTAGCGAATCTCTTGTCTTTGTTGAATTCCTGTTAAATTTCCACAATACTTGTCCGTTGCCTACCAAAACAAATGCACAGTTATCACCTCCATAAAAACAAAGAAAAACTGTCAAGTGTAATTAGGAAGCGCTCCAGAATATTCCCTTTTCTGTGTTGTTTATAAAGTGTGTGTGTAGAGAAAAAGACGTTGTTTGGCCGCCATTTTGAATTTATAATGAAGTCATTAGCGACATCTTAAATTATTGAATTAGTTCTCTCGCTAAAAAGAGATGTTTGCAAAAAAGACATGTTCTACAGTATGCTACTTATATAGCAGACTCTTTTATTCACTTTTACACAGTGCAGAATCACTTTACAATAACTGATACCTTAAAGCGTGAGTGTGGTCACCTGTGTATTTGGCAGATGGTCATAGTGTGTTGTTGTTTATGAATAAGCATCTTCCTATTAGCCTTTGTGTTTTTAGCATGCGTTGTTATCGTTGCTTAGGATGTATGTGCGTGGTTGACAATACTTCGCTTTCAAGTGATCTGACAACAGGTTGAATAATGGTTGCTTGAGATAAAAATAGATTTACGCATAATCCTAAATACTGTTAAAGGATTAATTATTCACTGGGTTTTAATTTTGCTGATTTCGCTGACTGGAAAATGCGCTAAATTAAAACCCAGTGAGTATGTACAATTTAGCATAGAACACATTATCTTAATGATAAAACCGTGAATTTAAAACCCACTGAATATGTTTGAAATGGTAAAATTAGTCATTTTACAGTATTTTATCACATATTACATGTCTAAATACCCATCAGTGGTGAATACAAACAAACTCCCTTCATACTTGAACCATTTGTAATACTAGTGACTGCTGAATAGTTTTCTAGTAAAACAGACTGATAATGCCACTGTTGTTGTTATCTGACATTCTTTTTATGCCCCTCACATTTAATTCTATATACTTATGTTTTTATGTAAATTTTTCTTCAGAAAACTCATGCCTTTCACAAATTGGAAGACAATGTTCCCCATGATGTTAAAATCCGTAGATTAACTGAAGTAGTTGATTTATCCAGGGATGAAATGGCCAAAGTCAATGCAAATAAAATCGGAGATCTTCAACTGGTGCTGATTGAAGGGGTATGTAAAATCTAAAACTAATGCAATCTTTAAAAAAAACATCAATTGATCTCCTGCAGGTAGCCTTGGTGAAGTTTGGTCGAATATTCTTAATTCATTCATTTATTGAACCAAACTAGTCAGTTTTGAGCACCATCATTTTTCTCAACAACAAAATTTTGTAAACTCAGGAGTGTCTTCTGAAGTTTACGTGTTTTTGCAAACTTTACAACTCATCAGTTGGATACTAGTGATCTGAGGATGAATTTTGTTGTCCCTCTGCATTACCATTCATTCCACAAAGAATTCTCAATCATAATGTTTACATATCAGGTATGAATTAATGTGCTATATGCATGACCCCTAAAGGTCACACATCCTAGTTATTTTGGGGGTATTTTTTGCAATAAGTTCTGATATTTTACTTTAATGTTTTTCATGTTAGCATCAATGACAACTACCGTAAAATCTGTATTAAAATCCGCATCCCTAATAGAAGCCATACCCATACTTTTTGAAAAATTAAGAACCAAAAATTCACCATTTCTCATATGTGTAGATGCTCTAATCGAAGCTGCATGCATCTCTTCTGTTGCATTGTATCATTTTAATAGAAATCACGATTTCTAATACAGATTTAACAGTACTTACATTTATTCAGAAGAATAATTAGCAAATTCTCTCTGATAGTGACGCTGTACACCTAGAAGTATCAGGATGTGTTACAATTCAATATGATTTCATTTAAAAAAAAGGTGATAAAAATTACCTTTGACAATGGTTGCTTGGTAACTGAGTTCTTGAATACTACACAATTTAATATTAGCTTGATATTCAAAATTACGTATAAATTTAACAATACATTTTAAAAAATAGAATAGAATAAAATAAAATAAAAAAAAAACGAGAATATCGGTATATACTAGTATAGAATAAATGATCAAGCAAGCAAAGTATTAAACACAAATAATTCAATTTTTCTTCCAAGTCTCAGTGTCTCACATGATCATATTTAGACATGGAAGGAAGATTTTGTTTTTGTCATTGCATTGAAAATGAGTGCCTGGAGACAATTTTGATAAGATGGATTACATCTGTAAACTGTTTAAACATTCTGAGAAAGGACTGGATATTTAAATTATCACATGATGAATTAAATTATTATAAATTATATTATTATAAGTACAAAAAGACACTAAATAAGAATATATACAAGTATGCGAAAGCAATGTAAAACGAACAATCAAAACTACACAATGTTTTAGCCTTTTAAACACCATCATTTCTTTTCGTCATAAGTTTCGTGCAAAATTTCGCACATTTTATGCACTTTTCTATAATTTCTTTTTTAATTTTTGACCAAATGGACAGAAAGACCAACAAATTGTAGTTTTACATTTTATGATTGTGTACTTCTTTCAAAAGCATGGATTGAATATCCGTTTAACATTGAAAGTAGATTTTGTTGTTGAAATACAATGTATTGAGCTATCGTAATAGAATTTTTTTTACAAACAAAAATATTGCATCACTTATACCTGATACAAAAAGCAAAAAATTTTTGGAACCTAATTGTCCATTCATTGTAGGTATGCAAATTTAATGGTTGCTTGGAAACCAGATTTGTGAAGTAATCAAATGATACACCATTTCAATATTATGCAAATGAAATCATGAGCGTGAGAAAATTTGTCAAACCGTTTTTGAGCTCGAAATGAACTAATAACGAGAATATGTAAAATACAAAAAAAACACTAATGTTAAACAACAATAGATTCAATGAACTATTTAAATCTTTCAATGGCACCATTTTACCCACATTTATCAGCAGGCCTTGATTTAAATTGATTTAGAAAGCAATTACAATATGTAGGTATATTTTCTGTATTTAAGTAATACAAGTTGACATTGACTTTCAAAGATTAAATCAATCTCAAAGTACAGCATTTTATACATCCTTTGAAAGTTTAGTTAAAAAAACAAACAAAAAAACAATTTATTTCTAATGTTGTTTCAAATTTTGCCCAACTTGTTATTGTACATATGTGCAATGCATTGTGGGGGATTGTATTCCTATTGTATCAGAGCTTTATGTTAATTTTTAAATTTTCGTGAAAAACAGAAGAATATTTTTGTAAGATTGTTTCAAATTTTGGCCAACTTGTTATTGCACATATGTACATATATATAATTCACTGAGCAAACTGTGTTCCATGGTATGTCTATTTTTTCTATATTCAGCACTATACATACATAATACTACATGTAGTGCTATGTCAGAGATAAATGTACACTAACTATTAGGTCTAACGCCTTTTTGAAAACAACAACTGATTAAAATATTCCTGGTTACTTGTAAAAATGACTCAATGGTGATACCTTTAAAACCCTCAAATAAAAGTTACTTGAAAAATTATTTACAAAGTTTCAAAAGTTGAATTCTTTTGTCAAGAATGACTCGCAATTTTTAAGTATTTTTCCCTAATAATTGTATAATATTTTTATTATATGTGATATTTTTATAATTAAACTAATTTCCCATTAACACATGAAATATATACAGTATTTGTGTACATGATTTCACAATATGGCTAGGTTTCATTTGTGGTTTGAGTGTATATTTATATATTTACAAAGTGGTTTGTACAGTTATTGAATTGGATGAATAGTACAACAAAATTATTATATTTGCACTACTGAAAAAGGATTAATTATTCACTGGGTTTTAATTTTGCTTATTTCACTGACTGGAAAATGCACTAAATTAAAACCCAGTGAATATGTAAAATTGAGCATAGAACACATTATCTAAATGATAAAACCGTGAATTTAAAACCCACTGAATATACCTGAAATGCTAAATCAGTGAAATTTAAACCCAGTGAAAATTAGTCATTTTACAGTATATTAAAAGTACATAAACATGCACTTTACAGATAAATACTGAGAAATAGTTGTAAACACATAGTAGTTGCTGATATAGAAAGTAAAGCATGTAAATAACACTGTAAATAAACAAAGTAAATACTACGTCAAATCAAAGTAAACATCTATTGCATGCCTGACTCAAACCAATGCTCACATACAGAAATTAATTGCCTGAATTAAGTTGATCAATTTTCGTAAGAACGTCTTTCTCTCACACAATATTCGCTACTCTGGTAACTGGTGTCGATCTTATTTTATTCTAACATCATTTAGTCATCTCATTTTTTTCTAACATCATTTAGTCATCTCATTTTTTTCTTTCATATATCAATAATTATTTATACAGTAAATAAACAAACCTGGTCAATCTACACGTAGACTATTATGTTTGTTGCAAACTTTGTAAATACAATATTTTAATTTGGTTCATGGCCGTCTCACTAACTACCATCCTGAGTGGATAATCCTTACTCACTGTGATATAGTTTGGTGATTCCCACTCTCCCTTTGCAATAAGTCCCAAGAATTCAAATTCAGGAGAATATTTACATATCTTTTTATTACACGGATCACATACGTAAATATTATCCTCATTATCTATGCTAATTCCATGTGGATATTTTACATCATGGTCATGTGATCCCTGTGATTGAAAACAAGACACGTATTTAAAATTTGAATCGAAAACCTGAATACGGTTGTTGGATTTGTCTGATACCAATATCTGGTTATTCTTATTCGTTACGATTGAATGCGGTTCCTTAAACTTGCCTGCCTTGGATCCAGTGCTTTGAGTGACTGCAACATGTATACCATCCACTGTATATTTTCTGATGCAGTGTTTGCCAGGTTGTTGATCGGTAACCAGTACATGCCCATCATTGGTCAGCTTGATACCTATCGGCTGTATCATCTGTGTCTGGCCGAAAGTAATTATGATCTCATTTTCTTCTGTACATACAACTATTTGGTTGTTTCCAGCATCGGCAATGAAATATAAACCAATCGATGACACTGCTACATCATATGGCATGAATGGTTTGGGAAATTGGTCAAATGTTAAACATTTCAGGCATCGGCCAGCCCAGTCTAGGATCTGAACTCTGTGATTGTTGCTGTCGGCAACTGCCAAATAATCATTATGATTTATGGCAATCCCACGGATTCCATCAAAATATGATGGGTAACACCCCTTGGAGCCAAAACAATGAACCGTTCCTACAGGAGGTATAGCTGTAATCTTAAGTGGTGCATCTTGTACTTTCTTATTCCAATGTGTTACGGTTAAAGAATATTCCCCTTCTTCTTCAAAACTAATACTTGATTGAATATAATCATCACTCATTGAAACCAGTGGGAACTTCTCTTTTTTGCTTGGAGTCAAGATCTCTACACCAATATCTTGCTGTCTAAGAACAAGATTTTTGGTAGCAGATTTGATTGTAATAGTTATCTTAATTCCCAAATTGACAAGTTTCGGCAATCCTTCAACTTTCACCTCTGATGTAGAATGTTGAGATACAATGCCAATGTCTCCGTCGGCTATTGCATCGTTCTCAATAAACCAAATATCGCTGTTATCTCTTGGTTTCAATTCTATCTCCGCTGACAAGACGTGCTTAGCACGATCTTCAACACTGTTGAATGAATGTAAACACTGGGAAGGAGTGGCAAATTTCATCAGATTTTCCAGTAATCATCAACACTCTCCAATTTTACTTTTACAAGTTCCAGTTCATTTTTCTGTGTTTCTAAAGTTTGACTTTTTTGTGTGAAAATCTTTTTTAGTTGTTGGTTTACTTCAAATTCTTTCTTAACAAGTCTTTCAAAAATGGCTTTCATATGTAAACTGATTGATTTCTCAGTGTTGTCACGGCAATCGTTCAGTTTTTTTAATTCAAGTTCAATGTTGGTTTTTGCGTCAGCAGTTGTTTTTATAACACCTTTCAATTTTTGTATCACTGGTTGTAGATGGAGCTTCCCTTCTTCGGCGGCATCCGTCATGTCTCTATGTCTGTGTCTAGGTGGGGGGTGTTCAACAAGAGCACACCTCATACAGACTGGTATCTTGCAGGTTTCACAGTACACCTCAACTGCAAGTTGTTCATGTTTATCACAGTGAACTGTCGCCTCTCGTACTTTCATCTCATTAATTACACAAGTGTAGTCATGCAACTTCCTAATCTGATGACCTTCAGTTTTTTCCACCCCTCTGTGTGTTCCAGTGCAGACTTCACACAGAACCTGAGAACAGTCAATGCACCTTGTCACTGCCACACCATTCTTGCACTCTCCACACTGAAGTGTATCTTCTCTCCCTAGTTCTTTAACTGTGGCCACATAATCAGCATTCCCCGTAAGTAAATAGTTTGTCGGCAAAGCACTTACATTATTGTCCGGAACCTCAAGACTGCATGTAGGGCATATCAAGGTGCCACCATTTTCCGTGATCATTTTCTGTAAGCAGCCTTCACAGAAGCTGTGCAGACACGGTAAAACCTTCGGATTCTTGAAAAGTTCTGAACAGTGACTGCATATCAGCTTCTCCTCCTTGATCTTCTCATCTTTGACTTCTTCAAAATTAGACGCCATGATCAATAGATAGTTACGCCGATGATTTTACTAAGTTGCCGGAGCTAGCTTCTAGATGTACAAGAGTTTGTTCTGTGTAGTGGTTATCAAACTGTAAAATTAACTGAATATATACCGGTAGTATAATACAGTATCTTGATGGGCACACTGCCAAACCAAATCAACTCATTACATTCTCTTGATTTTCAATGAAGTTAAGGTATGTAGTACAATAATGTGGTCATCCTATGCTTTATGTATCCTTTGGAATTTTTAGGGGCACCTACATGTACTTTCTTATCAATGATTAATTGGTTGTTCATAAAGTTTTTATGGCTCTTTGTAACATGTATTGTGCACATGATATAAAGAATGGGATGTATAAGGAAATTAGAGTTATGTCAGTGATTTTTTAGTCCTGTTCAGGATGTTCATCCGACCGTCCACACCTGTATTTCAGACATGCATGGGCCGATCACTTTCAAACTTTATGCATACAATGTACATAATCAACTCAAATAACATATGAACATGTATTGTCTGTTTTTAATCTGATTCAAGATGATCAATTGGCATTTTTCTGTGCCAAACACTTGGGAACCAGATATATTGTACTATATAATATATACTTTATATTCAACTCATCAAAAATCAGTGAAAATAAATTCCATACAAAACACCCAAAAACTCTTTTCAGCGAAAATTAATTCCACCTAAAATAAAGTATTCTACAGTACGTTAATTTGATGATCTTCCCTTTATTTTGCAGATAAAACTAAAAATGGCAGTCCCTGAACTTCCCGCATTCGTCAAAGGCAATTGCCTTGATTGATGCCCAAAAAGTTTACCTTGATGATCTTCAATATTCCATGTGTTATTCCTAAAATGCTAACTTTTAAAATTTAAGCATTGAAAAATGAGTGTTGTCTCAACTCTGAGGTTTACTTTTTCAATTGACTTATTCAGTTTATCACAACTGTCAGGACTATTATTACCTTTATTTATTTCAGGAAAGTAAAAAAAGTGTTTATGATGTAGCCGGTAGAAATGATGGAAACACTAAAGTTATATTGCCCAAAATGGAGATACCATGTGACAGGGAATCAACCAATCATAGCCCAATGAAATGTGGTGACTATGTTGTGGCTTGCGTAAGTACAATTTGACATTTTTAAAAATTGATAGACTTGTGTGGATGACCATCAATACAACAAAAAGAAATTTCTTTTGACATATCGTGACTTGTTTTTTACAATTTTTTTTTTTTTACAAAGTTTATAAAGACAGAAGATAATAATGATATATAAAATGCATGTTAGTCTGAACTCCAGGATTATGCAGAGACCCAATTATTTGGGGGTAAATATTTGTGCATTATTAATCACCTAATTTGCATAATTACTTAATTTTCAGCTTTTCCACTGATATCTCTAATTATTTCATTCCAATAAAACATGGTTCTTTAGGACAAGGCACAGACCTATTAGTTTTGGGTTAAAATCTGTTCATATTAATTTCCTAATTAGCATAATAATTCATAATTTTGTGGTTCTAATCACATTTCAATGAAACTTGCTACATAATTTTACACTCAAATCTGTGCATATTAATTACCTGATTTGCATAATTATTCAGCTTTTCCATCAATATTTTTAAGTACAAGTAATTTTGAATTAAATTTTAACGTGTCTCCAATACTCTCAGCACACGGGAGCTCTTTATAAGGTTTCTTATATTTTAATTTGTCTACACACTGGTTCAACAAACAAGAACAATAAATCAAGCTAAAAGTTGTTTGCACTGGCAGAATTATAACAATTGATTGTTTTTTCGGCAGTTATCTAGATTTCCAATTCAGACTATAACTTGCCTTGACCTTAATAACTTTTAGTTTGATGGTATCTTTTCTGTTGCTGTGTAACTCTGTTTGATCAAAACTTTATGATACGCAGTAAATAAATCTTTCATTGAATTTAAAATTTACTTCCACCTTACTTGATTTTCAAGCATACATACAAAATATCCAACACCACCAAAGAATTTAATTCTATTAAAAACATGCTAAAACAAGTCATTGAAAATGACACAGTCCCCGTTAAATTATTGAAAGTTTTCTTTGTGCTCGTCATATTAAAGCGGAGGGGTTGTTGCGAGCGTGTCCTTGAAACTTGAGTTCCAAGTGGCGTATACAACAGATTGTTTATTTACATCAAAACACGTGTCCCGTGTAGGAGTACCGTTAAAGTCCTATTATAAACCGCGGTTTATATTACAATGTATCAATTTAAAAATTGGGATCAAAAGCTCAAGTTCGGGGTGCGGTTTCAATTACGTACATACTACAATCACTAAATGGGCGTGGTCATTTTTTGTCCACAACACACGCACAAAACAAACAATACACCGTATAATCTCTTGAATAGGCGTCGGGGAAGAGTGAAAGGCCTTATTTTGGTTCTAAAATAGGCGTTACGAAATGTTGAAAAATTACAGTCAATCAAAAAAAAATTCTACATGATACAAAAAATACTCAGTATTTTTATTGTAATATGCATTTATTTTTTTAATTTTCTTGGTAACGAAAAGTATATTCTAACAGAAGTTTCAAATAAAAACACGAATGCACTGCTTAGTAGCAAATGATCACATAACGGTAGCTCGATTCGGCCATGCTGCTGGTCACAAGTGAATGAATAACTTGTTTTCGAAGTGTTGATATTGGTGATTATTATTTAGTAGTGATTACAATAACGCACGAAAAATAAATTGTTATAAAATGCAAGTAAAATTCAATTTAGTTTCCGCGTAAGCGAATGATTTCAGTCACATGTAAACAGCCGATACGATATCCACCATGCTTTTGAATGCTCACGTGACGTATTATTGACCGGATAGGTCAAGTCGCTAATTAACCAATCAAAATGCTGGATGGTGCCCACATGTCTAAATTACATAGCTCATTTAAATATGTTAATGACAGTTCAGCGACCTCATGGTGAACGCAACACGGAAGAGATTTACCGATAATGTAGTGCGATCTTTTGCCTTTGATTTCCATGGGAAAACAGCATGATTTTTTTTTTAAATCAAGAAATTATTTGTTTTCGAAAGATACAATTATTCTTCAATGCTCAGTTTAACACTTTTACGGTGATAAAAGCTCATTGTCTAAAACTTACGAAACACAGACGTATTCAGAAAGAGTATTGACAGTGGTTGCCGCCAGAACAAAGGCAGTTTCATTGCCTGTCTGACATCTTATCATCGCTGAACAATAAATAGGTGTGAATATTTTTAGGCATGTTGTCGAAACAAATGAATACGATTAGGAACAATGTCGTTTTGGAACAGCTGGTTGAAACAATGAAGTCAGTCATGGTCTTGTTGAATTGGGGGTGCGGTTAGTAATAGGTACTTTTCAAGTTTTCAATTTTTGTTAAGAACTCTTTAACCCCAAAGCCGGAATTGGGGGTGCGGTTAATATTACGTATGCAGTTTATATTAGGACTTTAATGGTAATAATAAAATTTTCTATTTAACCCATTGACTGCCAAATATTTCTTTTGCCAAAATTTCAGTGCAAATATTTTTATATTTGATACAGACAGTTCAGATATTGCTTTTTGTTTCTGACCAAAAGGTTTGTCAATTTTTATAAACATTTCACAAGAGGTGTCAAAAGTTGACAATGGCGCTCAACCAAGCATATTAATACAAATTCATTGGATTATAGCAATGACAGTAGAAGTTACAGAAATATACGTTTTAAAGTGTGTTATATTTACCTTTAAATAGTCAGTGTCTACTTGTATTCTTTCTTGGACATAACGTCTTTTCATTTCAATTTTTTCTCGTATTAAATTATTTAGTTTGTTCAGGACATTCTCATTAAGATCTTCTACTGATTTTTTCATTTTCTGGCATATGTTATCAGTTTCCTTTAGAACAGTTGACCATGCCTGAAAGTACACACCAATTGATTATGTCATAGTGAAAGTACACACAAATTGATGATGTTATAGGTACAGTGCACACAAATTAACGATGTCATATCAATAGTACACACAAATTATGATATCAATACTGTTCTATTTAACACATTCTAAATAAACAAAAGCACAGAAAATTAGGGAATTTCACTATTTCATCTTCATTGAGATGCTGTTTTGAAATATACTTTTGCAATACTGTAAAATGATTAATTTTCACTGGGTTTAAATTTCGCTGATTTACCATTTCAGGCATATTCAGTGGGTTTTAAATTCACGGATTTATCATTTAGATATTGTGTTCTATGCTAAATTTTACATAATCACTGGGTTTTAATTTAGCGCATTTTCCAGTCAGCAAAATAAGCTAAATTAAAACCCAGTGAATAATTAACCCCTTTACAGTATTATTTTCCTACTGACTACAATGACGTGTGTAATATCTTAACATCATACCATTGTGTCTTCATAAATGTACAATAGCAAGCACATACCAGTTATGTGTTATGTACATGTTAGTATTTAACACCAGTTGTGTCTGCTGCTAGATAATAACAAGAAAATAACTATCACCCACCATTTTGCTGTTACTATTAAAACAGAACAGAAATTATTGGTATAACTAGTGGTGTGATGGAACAACAATGCACAACCACAACTTAAAAATTTGAAAATTGTCATGCAATTAATATGCATGGATTTCTACCAAAACCCATATCAAATCTGCACATTAGCCCAGAGCATTTCTTCATCAAGTTTCATCAAAAATCAACATATGTCAGGGCTTTCATTAAGTTTAAGAGTAGAAGGTAAATGTAATATAGTAGGACACAAAAGGAAATTTATTTTTTTTGTCCGCATTGCACTACGGACAGGGGGGGGGGGGGTTCTTTTTAGCAAAAATGTCAATATTAGTGATGGTTAGATCAATTTTTAAGCTATGAATACATGGCTTTTGCTTCTTCAAACTGATCTGTTCATTCATAATGGACCCGTTTCAGAGAATATTAACGTGACAGTGAATATTAATACTGATAATATTATATTAAAATACACACATACCAGTTCGCTATCACACAATATAAGCAGAAAACATTAATTACAATTAACATAATCATTTTAATATAAGTTATTTTAACCATACATGTATGTAAAATCAGATTAACCGGTATTTCCATGACCTTGTGCTCATTTGAAATAAGCATCACAGTCAGAGTCCAAGTCAAGTTCATCATCTGTCCCATAGGCATCATCTTCAGACAGACTGAGATCCAACTCCT